TGCCACAGGGCCAGTATGACACAGTCACATGTGAACATGGATCACAGGGCCTGTATGAACACATCTCACAGGCAGGATGACAAGGTCATGTAGGAATGCATGTCACAGGGCCAGGATGAAGCACTGTAACTCATAAACACCTAGAACAGAACACAGATGAAACAGGATCCCATATGAACTCACAGCAGTGAGGATGGGACACACGGTGAACAGCAAACTGCAGGGATGACACGGGGTCACATGTAGACAGTGGGTGACACAGGGTGACATGAAAATGCCTCACAGTGCCAGAATGAAACAGGTTCATGCACAGAACCAGGGTGCGATGAGGTCACATACGTGCATGCCACACAGCCGGGGTGATGCAGGGTCACTATGGACCCACTGCAGGGAGAGCTGACGCGGAGTAAATGTTAGCACGCGGCATGAGATGGAACGGTAGATGCAAACCTTCAACACGGTGATGATGAAGTCAGGTCCGTACAAGCATGCAACACAGCCTGAGGCAAAGCAGGCTCACACATGGACACAGGAGAGCCAGAATGGAGCGGGATCACATGTGAACACGGGACACGGGGTGAAGAAAAGTAGCCTCACGTGTGAGCACAGCCCGGTCAGAGGGTGCAGCAGAACTACACACGGACACACGACGGGAGACAGGTGAAGTCATGTGGGTGACTTGTGTGAACGAGACAGCAGGAGGACGGACTGGGGCCACACACGGACGCACACCCCACCCGAGTCGGGGCACGTGCCCAGCCGGGTGTAGGCTCCTTCTTGGCACGCCTGAGGAACGTGATGGGCAGAGATCAGCTGCCTCCCTGCCTTGGGGAAGTGCAGGAGGACCCCTGGTCTGAGGCTTGTTTCCACAGCCCTGGCTCTCCCTTGGGTCAGCAAGTTCAGAGCCCTTTCTGTGCGTAAATGTGTTTTGTCATCAATGATTTTATCATAATTAGCATATAAAGGAAAGAACAAAGGGGGTAACAGGAGACCTTGAATCCCAACACTCAGATCCCGTGTATTTTCTGCCTGTGATTCTAAAAGTTGTTCTATGCATTTAAAATCAAGATACAATAGAAGTGACTTACTTTGACATAAAGTTCTACAATCTGTGACACACCTACAGGTGACATGTAGTGACATAACTACAGCACAAGGAAGCCAGTGCTCAGACATCTACCAACGACTGCCAGCGATCCCCTCTGAGAGCGTGGCGATACATTTTCCTCAACATGACCACACCCTGAGGAGAGACACTTCAGTGAGGAAAGGCTGGGTTGGGCTCAGGGCTTCTGCAGCTTCGGTCCTTGCTTGGCTGGTGCACTGCTTTTAGGTCCCAGGTGAGGCAGAGCATCGCAGCAGAAGGGCGTGGCGGAGGAAGGTGGCTCACCTCTCGGTGGTCAGGAAGCAGAGACACGCCAGGGAGGCGGGACTCCGACCAGATGTAGTCCCAAGGCCATGCCTTGGTGATCCGCTAGCTTCCACGAGGCCCACACTGGTGGCAGCACCTCTGGGTAACACGGCGATTCACTCCCTTCCCACCACCCGCTGGGTCTTTCAGGGACATACTGCAGTGTATCCGAGCCACCTCAGGCTCTTCCTGTGTGTGACACCTGAGGATCCCGGCCTGACAAGCTGCCTTTAAGCTTTTTCTCCTTGTGAGTATTCAGTCGTCTTAGGGTCACTTAGTAAAGAGTCTGTCTTTCCCCATGGAATAATCTTGGACACTTGTCAGAAATCAATTAGTCATAGATGTATGGGATCTGTGACCTGTTGAATTTTTAAAATACGTGTGGTATTTAGAACAAGTTCATTATTTTGCGGTGGGTACCTATAGAGAGCACTTCCCAGTCCTGGACTCAGTCCGGGAAGTTTATATTTGCAATCCCATGGGAAATTATTGGCCTTCCACTGAGTTAATCCCAATCTGACACTTTCAGTGTGACACATGGTGAGAACAGAGACCCTGAGGCATATTTGTAGTTGAGGGGAACCAATGGGGTCCTAAATCCAGCCATGATGATGGCTTTCTAGACCAAAGGCCATGACCCCGGGCCAAACCGGGTTTTATTAATTCATCAAGAAGGGAGTGGCTCGGGGATGAGTGACTGCAGTTGTGGCCGGAAGTACGCGAGCGCCGTGAGCTGGGTAAGTAGGAGGCCTGAAGTCACCTCTGCAATATGCGGAGCGAGAGAGATACGCAGAAACAGTAATCTGCGCAACACAATTCAAGGCAGTAGCTAATATTTTCGGGCTGGTGCTTCAGCTCTGATGTGTAATTCTTTATGCCCTGAGATGTCACGGCCTCTCTCTTGAAGCTCAATCCCAGCTGACAGTACAGAGCGCGGCTCTCCCTCCTACCCGGCTCACACATGCTTCTTGCGAGCTACAGGGCTGGGAAACGCTGCCTTGTTGCCTTGCTTCAAAGACTACCATCAGCATCTCAGCTAGACACTGATTTGCATTGCTTAAAGCCAACTGAAGGGATAAAGAGAAGTCCCAGCCAGCTCTGTACACGTCAGTACATGGAAACAGAGCCAGGTTCAGGAAAAATGGAGCCGACTGCCCCTCCTTCAAGGACAGGCGCCCAGGGGTCCTCCACAGATGGCGCTGT